ATTAAAATAACTAACAAAATCTCTCATTTCACTGGAGTGCTCTGAATAATGAATTACCAAGGACACCTTCACATACAGAAACAACACAGCATACAAACAATTCCAGCCTTTCAGATACAGGACCCGATTTGGGCTTCAGAGTTGGCAAAGAACAGACCTCAAAAAGATAAAGATTTGATAACATGGTATTGTGGTAAGTCATATGCACCCTGCTCTAAAGAAACCCAAAAACCAGAGCATACTTTCTAGGAACACAAAGACAAACTAGTCACCAGAAAGATATGCTTTCAAGACAGCCTCTCCTTCCTCAACTACAAAAGGAAAAAAACCACTTACAATTGTAAAAGTTAACTTTTAAAATATTAACAAAGGAAGTCTCACAAATATAAGGGAACTGTCACGCGATGCTTCAGTAACAGAGGTGCTGATGAAACATCAAAGGAAAATGGAAGCACATTTTTGGAACCATAACTTGCTGATGTGTTCTTGCTCAGAGCAAGTAAATTTAGGGTTTTCTTTAGCCTACTCAAAACCACCTAACCATACAATTCATTCTCTTGAAAATACTAGCACCTCTCCTTGGTGAAGGACACTGGCTTCAAACAAAACAACTCAGTGGATCACTGAATCAAAGAGATGAACACTTTGATAGAGTAACTGAAGTACCAACAAATATACCATTTACATCGCATATAGTTATTTGAGGTTAAGGAACTGAGGCTTAAAATTCTTGACTTCTAGAATTTATGGACTTTTTTTAAGGATTCAAAGAATTTTTTTCATTTTCATGAGCCTCAACTGCAAAAAAAATTAATTTGTTACAACCAGAAGGTTATATGACAAGTATAATAAAGTTAAAGACAGGCATTTGATTAGCTGTTTTGCAAGATCTCCCTTCAAGGCCAAACTGAAAAGCTATTTACATAATTATTAAGTAAGAAAGCTGCAACAGGGGCAAATTAGAAACTAAGAGCATGATACGACGGCAATGACAGATATTCTTTTCTTTACAGAAGCTCACACTTCAGGTTGCATTACCAAGCATTTATGCATATAAGGGAAAACAAGAATCAAACTGTTTTCTTTCCAGAGATGAGACATCTTCAAGACATTTTGCAATCACTTTCAAGTTCAAGCTCTTATTCACTGCTAGGACAGCACAATATTATTCCTATTTGACAGCTAACACAAAATACAAGTTGCTTTGCTACAGGTACAAACTAAGTAAAGTAATTTTAACAGAAGGTTTCTTCCTCCCAGCAGAAACATGTAATTTTCCTTGCTTATTCTCACATTACATCTACGTTATTTCCTTTCCACTAAGATTACCTGAATTGTTATTACATTTAGCATTCATGGAGGTTAACATCCAGGCACAAAATAACTCTCCTGCATGGAAGTTCAGTGTGATACCAGCACCTTCACTGCTCTGCCCATACTTTCACTGTTACATTTTTCTTTCAACGCTGCGAGTGGAAAGCAGTAAGGAGTGCCAATTATGAAATGGATTTGTGCTACAGACAGATGGTCACTGGCATGACACTGATGTCATACTCTCCACTTACAAAGTTAAAGGCAAATTCTCCAGAAATCAAACACTACCACACTGTAACAAGTGCCATGGTTGGGAATGACATGGAGCAAACACTTCTCTCATGATCACGCACTGTGCTCTTTGCTGACCATTTTTAAGTGAGCACCACAGGTACGAAGGTAACCTTACATTCACTGCTGAACAGCAACAGCCGGTGTGCCCCCGCCTTTGAGAAACACTACAACTCCCATGGGCCTCATGTGCTTACTTACTTGCTGGTCAATAAACACTGCAAATATTTCTACAGCTTTCATACATGTTTACTTACACATTTTTAATACATTTGTTGCATCACATTTAGCAATAACTTGCAGGACCAAGACTGCGTGTTTGTTATACAGAATTAGCTACTCAGGTTCTGAAGAGGTGATCTCCAAGCTTCCTCATACAAAACAGAGTTGTCAACATCATTTACTGTTGACAACTGTGGCTTACATACAATGTGTGACTAGTTAAAAAAGCCCTTGTGTTTTGGTCAGCACTAACCACTGCTTTTAGCATTGTGTGATTAAGACCTGCTCAGAATAAAACAAAACAACTGGCTACTGAAAGACAGTAGTGATTCCTTTGGATGAGGCAAGGGTGCAAAGCTTTTAATGCCAGTTCTAGTGGATGCAGAATGGTAGCAAAATAAATCAGTAAAGAAGTCAGGGAATAAAAACCAACACATGTGAATATTATCTGCTACAGCATGTAATTAAAAACTTAAAATTTACCACACTCGAAAGAGACAATTCTGAATCTCCTTCTGCCCCTTTTTCTTTTGAAATTACACCTTAATTTTGCACATTTTCATGCGCTTCCCCGTCTGGAGACAGTTCACTCTGCAGACACTGAAAGCGGTAAGTAAAGCTAGTTTACATAAGCTGCAGCCCTACAACAGCAGTGGTTAACTACACATCATCTCCGACCACTCCGGTTGCTCCCCAGTTTTCGTTCTGGAAGAGCAGGTCTGTGACAGTGACAGGACACTGTGTCACCTTGTCACCTGTGCAGGGCACTGCAGAACCATCACTCAATGCGCTCCCAAAGCTGAACTGCATTGACCCCGAGCAAGCAAGGCACGCAAAGGGACAGGACTTTTAAACGCGAGTGCAAGGAGATGAGGGGCATGCCAGTTACAGTTCGGCGGTCTCTTTCCACCAAGAGGGAGCGGACCCGACAGAACTACACCTCGAGATCTCTGCTGTACCAGCCCACGGCAGCGCGGTTACAGCTGCAGACCCAGGGTCCGTCAGAGCTGCTCTTCCTCTCGCCACGTCCCGGGGCGCAGCCGGGCCGGCGCGGGGCCTTTCCGTGCCGCCGGTGCCGCCGGGCGCTGCCGTCCCGCAGCGCAGCTGCGGCGGCCGCGGGGAGCGGCACCGCCCTCAGCCGCAGCCCCCCGCGCGCGCAGCCCCCCGCGCGCGCAGCCCCCCGCGCGCGCAGCCCCCCGCGCGCGCAGCCCCCCGCGCGCGCAGCCCCCCGCGCGCGCAGCCCNCCGCGCGCGCAGCCCCCCGCGCGCGCAGCCCCCCGCGCGCGCAGCCCCCCGCGCGCGCAGCCCCCCGCGCGCGCAGCCCCCCGCGCGCGCAGCCCGCACCTGTTGCGCTGCGCCGCTCGCAGCCGCGCGCGGCCCGCAGCCCCTCGCGCCGCCCGGCTGACTCACGCGGGGGCGCGGGACGCGCAGGGGGCGGGGCCAGCGCAGCGCGAGCGCCGACGGGTCCCTGCCCGGGACAAAACAGGCAGAGACAGTAGCGACACGTGGGTGCGCGTCGGGAAGTCTTCGAGGCGCAAGGAAAGAGCCCGGAGCCGGCCCGGGAGGGATCGGTGACAGCGCCAGCGCCCGCCTGACCCTTCCTGCTCCGCAGACCCGCCCGTCGCTGCTGCCTTAACGGGGAGCGGGCCTGTGCCGCAGCTGCCGCAGGCCCGATGTAGAGCTGCCCCCGAGGAACGGCCCGGCGTGAAGAGCGGCGCTGCCGCAGGCGCGTGTGCGTACACGTGTTTGTGCCAGTCATGCACACACGTCTGTGGGTGGTATTCCACAGGCATCTGTTTCACAGAACACATTTAAATATGTACACATAAACACACCGATGTGTATATGCACAATATGCGTCTACACCTCTGTGTGTATATGCACATACATATGCCATATATCTATAGATACACATCGCTACATGGGCATATACATGTGTTTCTATTTGAGCAAGTTTGGTAAAATGTGCTTTTAAAGTTGTGCCACCTCTTAGTCGAGTATTTTTTATGTTGCCTGAAATTTCATTTAAAAACTATGGTTCTAAAGACACGTATAGGCTCTCCTTTATAAATTCTTACATTTTTTAAGGATAAATATTAAACATTTCTATTAGAAATATTTAATAGTTCTATTTCTATTAGAGTGTTTCCTCCACTAACTGGAATGATTACTCCAGTTTTGGGTTTTTTTCAATAACAACAGTCATCAGCTTTCTTTAGTATGCTTTCTTCATTTGTCATCTCTGGCTACCTGGCAAAAGTTGGATAACTTCTCTTTGTGACAGTATTTCCCCTCTACTCCCTGATGTGCAGACACTGGGTGGTTTGGTTGCAACAAGACAGAGAAATTGTTCCTGGCTTCCCAATACATTTTTGCTTTAAAGAAATAATAATGAAAAAGTGTTATTCTTGAACATCAAAACAGTGAAGCAAAGGGAAGATTTCATGTGGTGCATTCAAATGAAAACTGAAGGACCTAGTGGGTCAGCAGAAAAATACCACAGGACGATGTCTGCTCCCTCAGCCCTTGTCATTTTCCGTGTGTTAGTCCTAGGAAGCTGCACAGTGAGTCCTGCTCATGCAGGACTATATGAAGAGGACTTTTGGCTGTCCACATCCAGGGTAAATACATTCCCTTCTCTACAGTGGGCAGGATTAATCAGTTTGCTCTGGTTTTTCTGACATATGGACAAGACCATCAGCTGCAACTCACTGCATCCCTTGGACACGTCATCCAGCGGGGACAGACGGGTCCCCACATAATGTAAATGCCAAAGCAAGGGCAGTCAATGTACAGCTCCTGCAGAAAGCACAGCTCAGCCACAGTGCTCAGAAAATTCACCTGAGAGCCCAGAGGCTGAATTCTGAAGCCTAGAGCTGCTACAGGAAGGAAGGAAATCAAGGCCTGTTCCTGTGTGAAACATATCCCTTCATTTTCCAACTTACTACACTGAGAGTTGCTTAACTGAAAGAAAGGCGTACAAGCAGAAAGTCTGGATTTATTAATTCTCCAACTTCCAGTATAAAAAATGTTGGCTGTTTTTGGAGGGCATATACCAAAGGAACTGAAGTCAATGGAACTACTCCAGAGGTGCATTTGGAGTTTCAAAGGAAAACTGCAGAAATCACAAGACTCTTTGAGGCAGAGATCTCATGCAAGTCATATGAACTGTTATTACAGACACAGAGGGATGAGGAGGAGCAAGGAGAAAAAAAGAGATACAGTTTAATTTAAACAGGACAACATGGGGCACATGCTGTGTGTAAGTGCTGTCAGACCAGGATGCAGCAGCTGCTGTTCAGAGAGAAGAAGCTCCCAACAAATCCAAGGCCTTCAGCACATGGAAGCAGTGACTACAGCAGAGGTATTTAATATCATATTGTGATACTTCTGCATTGAGATAGGGTAAGCCTGGGTGCTGTCACTTGTGGGAGTGCAAAGCTGTCCCACTTGCTTCTAACCAGACAGCACCAAACTTTGCAGCTTCAAGCTTGTGAAGCTACTGACAGAGGAATCTGTACCTTAGATGACAATAAGTGCCTCCGATGTGATGAGCAAGAAGAGAAGATTGCACTCCAGCAAGTTCTATGCCAATGAGAGGTTGTAAAACAGGGCGGTAGGCAACAACCTACAGTTCTGGAGGAGGCAGCATGCCACAGATTGCAAATCCTGTGTTGTCAAATTATAATCCATTCAATATTGTTACTTGGGAGGAGCTTGAAGCCTGCTTGCCATTCATTGCAACCTTTTTTATAGTTGTGTAGTGTACAGCACTGTTATGCTGTATGGGCCAAATTAACAGGCTATGTAAATTATACAGTGGTGAAGAAGGAGGTGAGAGATGAGGGATTAAGGGGGAGAAGAATACATAAATGTAAACTTCCTGAAATTTCACTTCTGCATTTGAGTTTTGGTCGCTGCCCTAACAGGTTATTTAGAGATGAATAATTCAAGGGTAAGGGAGAACAACATCTATTTAGAATGATGCTGGCAGAAGTACCCTCTGCAGTTTCTTCCCCTTAGAGCCAGTACTGAAGATCTGTGACTGGTAGAGAGAGAGATGAAAATGATCTGCGTTGCTCAAAGCTGCTGCAGTTGAGAAGAAAAGAAACTAATCAGTAGAATGGTAGTTTGCCAGTGACACAATTTGTTCCCTTTTCCTATGCCAGCTGTTACATGTAACCAGAGCATCCCTTTCTCTACCCTCTCCCTGCAGCTCCACACCCTGCAGAGCTGGAGGTACAGCACACAGGGACCTTGGAGTTACACTGATTCTTTTCAGGAGCAGGATGTTGTGGAGAGGTTCAAATGGGTGAGGTGCAGCATCCATAGAGGCAGAAAGGAGATATTTTATCCTATGGTTATTCCAGCCATGAATCAGTACTTAATTACTGAATGACCTGCTACTAGCTTCTTGTTCTAAATCTAAATACCAATTTCTTTATGAAGCAGAGACAAGACATCCCATTTGGAGCTGCCACATCCTATGTACATCTAGAGAAGCTGTGTGAAGGATCCTGTGCAACTGTGTACAAGGGGATCAGCAGGTGAGCAATACTGCTTTCCCAGTGCTTGCTGAAAACACCTCCTATGGCAAATCAAAAGTCCAGTTTTGCCTTTAACATGATATTTACAAAGCCCCATCCCAATTTTTCAGGGAACTTCTCCACTGCAGCCATGGAGGCACCACTAAAACTCTTTGATCCACAGCAATGTGCCAGGAGATTGTCTGGCTGAATCAGGGAGGGAGCAAAGGTTTTCCTTTAAGTGAGGGATCTCTGCATAATTGAAAAATTGGGCATGAGGTTATACTGCCATCACAGAGGGGCAGTAAAGCTGTGAGAAGGTGGGGCCACTGCTCAAAACCATGCTCTAGCAATACTTGGACAGCAGCACAGTGCTTCTTTGGCCAGGTGGGCTAGCTCTCAGCTCTCTGCTAATGAGCACAAGATGGAGGAGGTTTGTAATTCCCTTCTGAGCTTGGCCTGGGTGGGTCAGCAAGCCCTAGAAATTTTGCTTGGGTGTTTGCTTGGGAGACTGTTAGTGTTATCATGCCAAGCACTGAGAAGCTTCATGTGACTTTCTACTGTGACCTGACAGGATCAACAGCCAGGTGGTGGCACTGAAAGTGATCAAGCTGGAGGCAGAGGAAGGAGTGCCCTTTACAGCCATTCGGGAAGGTAAAACACAGAGAAACATCACTCTTGAAGAGCATTTGTTTTAACCTGGAAAAGCTCCATGATATCTCCCTCAGTCCTTTCTTGCCTATTCAATGTGCTGGCTGTCCTTCTCCCAAAATCCTGTTTCCTTATCCTCTCATAAGGATGTCTTCATGCTGGGCTGGATGGGCATGCAATGGACAGAGAAGGAATCTCTAGCGTATGTGCTTGTGAGAGATGCATCAATGCCTGTGATAAGGCAAGTGCCAGCTGCAGCCAGAGCAGGTTCTTTCTAGCAGTGTCAGGGCTCCCTTGCCCCTTCTGCTTGCTGCCTCCTTCACAGTTGCTTTCTCACTCCCTCTAGAAACTGCATAGCCCTCTAGAAACTAGACAGCTTTTGCCACTGCTGCATTGGGCAGCTGTAGACTTGTTACTACAACCATGACACTTTCCTAGATGATACCTGGAGCATCACAGATCCCAGCCTGAAAAGAGATACTTTCAATAAAACTGATGTTTAATAACATCTGTCATTTCAGTCCAGTGAGGAATTCTTCTTCTCAGTCGACTTTGTAGAGCATTGGGCAGATTTCTCAATTTCTTGGAGAAATAAATGATTTTGTGCAAGTGCTTGATTTTGGCTGAAAGTATTTACATTTCCCTACAGACTAAGTTCACAGGCCTGCTTGACTGAGGCTTCTCTTTTCATCTGCTATACAATCCCAAGAAGACCATAATCTGTTTTCTTCCATACACAGAAATATGCAACTGTTGTGCCAGTCTGTTTTATGGTATTAGTGAAAACTATCCATGTAGGATGACATACATGAGGTTCTTTTTAGTTCTTACTGCACTTGTGAAACCAGGGTTAATCTTGTGACGGGGATGGAGAGTCAGGGACTAGATGTGCCAGGTTTCACAGAGCAGCAGGAGCACAGAAGGACTCTCATGGCAGGCAACTCAGAATAACAAGAGAGGTCACTGAATCCACTCCAGGTTTATAACAGTAATTAAGAAAGAAAGCTGGACTAAGTCCTTAGTCCGATTCTGTGTGAAAGCAGAGACATACCTAAATATGCCTATTTAAAAAATGGCTTGTGTTATGTTTCCTATGCACTCATTTGCTGTGGTGCTTTTGCTCTGCATTTACACTTGTAGCCCACCAGTAAAATAAGCCTTAAAAGCTTTATCTGCATTGAACTAATGATGCGCCAAAGATCAGCACCCCTTTAACATGCTCTACTGGACAGGCTGAGAGTCTTAACTTCATTCATTATGGGAGAAAACAAGGGTGATCCTATGAAGGGTCTGCTTTAAGTAGGTCTTTTGTGTACTGCTGAGCTTTGCAGCATCTGACACCTCAAATTTACAATGTAAGTCAGTAGCAAAAACAAAGCACAAGATTTATTAACGCAGTGCATTCTCTGCTAGCCTGGAGGAATGCGCTCCCCTGACAAAGAGATGCTTCACCCCAGGAAGCCCCGCAGAGACAAAATGCGTTTCAAGCTCGGTTCTGGCAGTAGCACCTGACACCCCAGCAGGGGGTTGTAGAAGCAACAAAGTGAGGAGCAGTTCCCAGAAGCCTGACTGAGGCACAGGCACTGAATCCTCCATTTTACTGTGGTCCCTCTGTGCTGCCCCTCTGGAACAGTAACTCTGGTCATATGGAATTTTTGAGGTATCACAGAGTCAGGCTATCATGTTCTGTAGCAGATGGGCTCTAGCCAGAGTATCTTTACTAGGTGCATAGGCAAGTGTGGAGCATGTTTAATATAATAATAACCATACTGCTATGCACTGGGAACATACTGGTGGTAGCTAAATGGACTAGTATCAGTAGCAGAGGCAGTTTAGCTGTAGCAACACCAAGCTCTGTGCAAGAACTGCTTTACAATCCAGTAGTTGTGCTGAATCAGGCGTCCCTTACTGCTCAAAAGTCTCAGAAGTGACACAGGCTTGGGCCAGAGCTCTGTCATACGGTGTAACTCTGGCAGTAGGGCTTTTAGAACCAGGTTAAATTGTTATGGTCGCAAAAGGCAAGTGCTAATCCTGTATCAATTTGCTTTGTCGGCATGAAACTCTTCAATTATCTTTTTCAGATTGTGTGAAAAACCAAAAAGCAGCTTTTAATTGTGACCAAAACTCTGTCTCCCACAGCTGGCCCTTGTTCTGTTTTGTGTGCTTCAGCTAATTCAGCTGAAACAAGATTGTATGCCCATGTCTTATTTGAATGAAATTTATAGCACTGCATGGTCTGACAGCAAACTAACTTGGTTTTAATCAGCAGCAAGAAGTGGGTCTGGAACAGCTCTGAAGCTATTCTGCTATGTCAGAAGCAGAAATAAAATCTCAAGTCAGGGACATCTGCTTTTTGTGGGCTTTGGGGCTTCTCTCTGTGTAGTTTGTGTTCCCTGTCTGTGAACAGCTGGGTCAGATTCTTCAGTTGTGCCAGCAACCTGCAGGCAAAGTAATCCCAGCTTCACTTCTTCCCCACATTCCTCCTCTGTACAGAGTTACTGCTATATTGTCTCATACCTAAAGTAGCAAATAATTAAGCTGTGCACACTGAGAAGCTGAGTTTCTGCTGAGAAGCTCCTTTCATGCATGTTCTGACTGGAGCCTGTTCTAACATAGCAAACTCAATTCACAGCCAAAAGACTCAGAAGGCTGCAGCTCTTGTCTTAGCATAAGTCAGTGCTCTGTGGTCTATATAGGGCCAGGGACTCTGCCACGTGCTGCCCTCTGCATCACCACACCCTGGATGTAACAAGGCTTGGCAAAGGCATGCCAGGACCTAAGGACCAGGGACACACAGTTGCAATGATGCTTTTGGATAGTTAGGCTGAAAGAAAAGCATGCCAAAGTTTTATAAATACAAATAAGTTACTATTCACTCAGTAGCTTCATCATCTCTGTTCTTAGAGTTTTTAACCAGAGACAGTAACCAATATGCACAGAACTAAACTCAGAATTTAGCTTATACCTACAGCAATTTCTTTTTGCAGATTTTTGCTCTGTTGTTGTGAAGCTGGAAACTGATAGAGACAGCTTTTCCTGGAAGTCTCTTGTAAGGGCCCTGCTGAGGGCACACACCAGGAGGCAGATGGGAGAAGAATAAGAAGCTCAGTGACAGGCTGGAGGCTGCTGCATTCTGGCTCTGAGAGCTTCCAGGTCCTCCCTCTCAGCATTTACCTTGAAGAAATGACTTCTCTTCAACTTATAAGCTGACACATGGGAACTGTGAACTGCTGTTTCTGACAGAGGCAAGATCCCACCTCTGGGAGATGGATGGGCTCCTGCCAAGCCTGAAGCACTGATGCTTGCTTCTCTGCAGAGCTGTTCCATCCTCCTTCAGGCTCAGTAGCTGCTACTTCTTACAGAACTGCCAAGTCTGAACTATTACTCCCCAGTTTTTTATTTTTGCTGCCTTGTTTTGTGCATGATCTCCTTCCATTTCCAGCAGCAGTAAAGTTGATCTTCCTTTTGTGTTTTCCCAGCTTCTCTTCTCAAGTGTTTGAAACATGCCAACATTGTACTGCTTCATGACATTATCCAGACCAGGGAGACACTAACATTTGTCTTTGAGTACATGGTGAGTTGATGTTTTTCTAGCTTCCTGTGGAGCTAGTACTGGGAAGTATTGGGAAGTGCCTGCAGAATGAATTTACTGCACTATAAGACATCTACAAAGAAGCAAGTTGTAATGCTGTAGTGCAGTGATTGATTTTCCTTCTTGATCTCCTGCTTTCCAGCACACAGACTTACTCTTTTCTTTCTGCATATGTGACAGCTGTATGCAAAAATAATTCCATGTCTTGTGTCCACTGGGGTGACATTATTTACCTCCATTTCTGTCTTGCCAGCACAATAAAAGTACTGTTTTTGAGCCACAGCAAGGATAGGAAATAATGATATGAGCTCACATCCCAGCTGGGGTCAGATTTGGCACTGACCCCAGTGGCTTACCATAACCAAGCTGTGAGCTGCTCTCATGGGGCAACCAGGGTACCAATAAAATTCTCCACTTGAATCGTGCTACTTCTCCTGCTTTCACAGATAGCTTCTGTATTTTCTTTAGGATTAGGTTGACTATGTCTTCTTATTGCAGCTTTATGGTTAGTTCTGGCACAAGTATGAATTCTGTTAACCAGCAGCTTCAGGTCACAAATGCTGGGTGAGATAACAGGCCAGCCAGGTCTCTGATATGGCCCAGAACTTAAGCACATGCTTGTGTGCTGCATCAGATGTTCACCTAGGTGAAATAGGCAACTTTGTAGCAGTTGCATATTTTTCCATTTACAGAAGGGGTGTTGTTGCTAGAGGCATTTTACAGCAGAAGCTTTGCCTCAAGTTCCTCTCTTTTATTTAGCACACAGATCTAGCACAGTACATGGGCCAGCATCCTGGAGGACTCCATTCATGCAATGTTATGGTGAGTTCCTTAGAAGACTTATATCCTTTATGGCATGAGGAAGAGTTATTTTCCACTATGTATGGTCACTGTAAATTACTTACTAATATATATTTGTTGCATATATGACAAAAACTTGGGAGAAAATCTACTTTTGATGATATAACAAACTCCCTCTCAGTCTCTAAGCCTTTTTTCAGTTAGCCACTCTTCCTATTTCCTGAGCCTACAAGCGGACATTTAGCTTTTGTGAACAATGACATCTTGTGGCAAGGATATCTATCTACTCAAGTTTGTGTCCTCTTACTGTTACAGCACATTATTCATCTCTCTAATTAAAAACTCTCACATCTCACTCTCTTCTAATTTTGAACTATCTTCATATTTGCAGTCATTTAAGTCCCTTTTGTTTCTCCCAAAGCTTTTGGGATTGCTTGACTGGATCTGAGCACAGCAAAACATGTACCCTCACTTTATAGATTGATGTTATAATAGTCTCCTGCTCTCCTTTGTATGCTTATTCACATTTAATTAACTTTCAGGACTGCTGCTGCATGCTGGCTTAAGGTTCCAGTGCAGATATCCTCAGTGAATGCCTGGGCCCTTTTCCTGAGCAGCTTCAGTTAATTTATCTTACAGCTGTCAACAATAACTTTGTATCTTATCAAACTGCCTATTCATCTGGCTTTGTCAGATCTCTCTGAAGTTTCTCACTGTCACTTGTTATCACAACTAATCTAAATACTTCTGTCATCTTCAAATGTTGTCACATTGTTCACATCTTTTTCCAGATAGTTGTTAAGCAACACCAATTCTAATGAAGTTTTTTGGGCCCTCGGATTTTAAACATCTTTAAAGCTCAGATACATCTGAGATGCAGTGTAGTAGTTTTGGCACAGATCTCAAGGGTTCTGCTACCAGACATGCTCGTAAAGCACATGGAGCACATGGCTGTAATATGTACTCACTGGCAGTTCTGTGAATAAACACTAGCCAGCTGCTCTGCTTTCCTGTCCAGAATACTCACTGTCAGCAGGAACTGAACTGCAAAATTATTTACTGCTCCTTCAGGAGGGTCATCTAGCTTGTTTCATTTTTGCTGGCAAATGCAGTTTGTTTTTTCTGAGTGATTCCTATGGAATATAAGTATGTAGAATGTTATAGGGACAGTTTTCTGGTACAAAAATGACCTATGGGTGTCACTGTTTTTCCTCCTCTTCAGGTTAAACCTCTGGTGAAAAATATCTTTTCTCTGGTGAAGTCTTATTACTTTTGCTGTGTTTTCTTTCTATCCATTATCCAACTTCATATTCTGTTTCAGCCCAACTTATTTTACCCCAAGCTTATTTAGACTATGATGATGGTGGAAGTTAGATATTTATTTATTGGCTTCCTTTCTTGCTTGGTTTTCTTCTTCCTTGCTTGCTTTGTTCACCATATCTGATTTGCTGTATTTTTAAAATCAGGTCTTCATTTTTTCTCCCAGCTTGAAACCAACAGTTCCCTTTGCCAGGTCAGTCAGTTCCTGCTCCACTGGTGGCATGTGAGGTGGTCATGGAACCCAGTCATCTGGTGCCATCTAGTTCAAGGGGGCAAATCTTCAGCTCCTTAGGCTTTCATTTTGTTTGGCTCTGTGCCTTTGTATCTTTGTCTTGAGCACTGCAGCTAGCACAGCTGCTGTTCTGAAAGCTGGGGTCTGTATTTTGGCAAGCTGACCTTGCTCCTGCAATCAACAGTCAATTTCTAAAGAAAAGTTAAATTTCCAAAATGTGCATTTATGGACCACAGTTAAACTGCCCTCCTGGCAAAATAGTCTACCCTGAAAATCTCAGAAAGCTGTAAGGCAGTCATAACCCACCAGAGTTTTCTCCTCCTCAGCCAGCTCTACTAATTTCTGGGATTTTTACTGGTTTCTTACTTGCTTTGTCTCTGCTTTGTTCCAGGGTTCTCCTAAAGTTCAAAGTTAATGTATCAATGCAAAGTCACACAAAATCATTTAGGTTTTTTGTTGGCTTTTTCCAGCTCTTCATGTTCCAGCTTTTGCGCGGCCTGGCTTACATCCACCAACAACACATTCTTCACCGAGATCTGAAACCCCAGAACTTGCTCATCAGTTGCCTCGGTGAGCTCAAATTAGCAGACTTTGGTGAGTCACAGTTTGGATACAGCTGTATATCTGCTCAGGCCAAAGCTGTAGCATGCATATAGATCTGTATCCACAGCCAATTAAGGCAGAGAAGCATAACCTTTTCTTGAACTTCAGGAAACTATTTCTGTGGTCAGTCCAGCTTTTCTTGTATTTATACTGATAGGTGCAGGGATTAACCTCATTTAAGTCAGAGCAATTACTGCCATGTAAAACTCGCTCAAGAGAACAAAGAATCAACCCCTCTCTGTTCAGAAAATAATAAAATGTGTAGAGTCCACAGCAATGTGTGACCCAAAAAGCTTTCTTGGCATTGGTTTGGGATAGCTACTTTAATCTCAAATGATAAAGCCTTGCAAAACACAGCCTATTACTTGATTTGATCTGCCCCAGAGGTATATTCCAGAAACACTTTTTTTGTCAATTGCTTGTAAGCTGCATTGAGATTACTTGTGTTTAAAGAGAAAATAATGTCATGTTTTCAATTTTTATGATCTATGTACTGTACAGGTAGAAGAACTGTCCTAACACAGCATTTTTTTGTTGGTTTGGTGGGGGTTTTTTTGCAGGCCTTGCTCGTGCTCAGTCCATCCCCAGACAGACATACTCCTCTGAAGTAGTGACACTCTGGTACCGTCCTCCTGATGTGTTGCTTGGAGCTACAGCGTATTCTTCTGATATAGATATCTGGTACTGACCAATACCAAAGCATCTGGGGTTCCCTGGGAAAAAATTATTTTCATCTGAATAAATTACATCAGCCAAAGTTACAGTAGATACTGTTGTAAGTAGAGGAATTAACACCTGTGAGCAGTAAATGTGTGACCAGTGTGGAGTTTTGTGGAAGTTTCATAGAGGATTCATAGAAGTTGTTGGAAATTATGTCACTACATCTCAGCTATGAATTGATATAAACATCATCTGATAATATTGATGAGAGATATGCATCTTGTCTGGTAATGTGTATGGAGCATTTTTGTCTGTCTTGCAACAGAACACTTTTGCTCAATGCAAGTGTATCTGTGTAGTTGGTTGAGTGAGTAGTAACTCTCTGCAGAATTGGCTTTGTGGAAAAACAATGGATCCACAACTGCACCATCAATTACTTAGACCTTGGTAGCAGAATGTGGCATTAAAGGGCTTCTCAATGAGTCTGGAGATAGAAAGGTGTCTGAGATTTTAATTATTTCTGTGATATTTTGTCCTTCTTCTCAAAAACCATGTCTCAGATGTGGTTTGTATTTCACTCAGGAGAAGGGCTGTGTCTGTTAAAGCCTTGTTTCCATATGAGCTCTACCCAAAAATCTTGATGTGTTTGGGAATCAAAAGGAAACAAGCTTCACAATCATAGACAGAAGAGGACTCTCTGAGAGTGGGGAGAAAACAGCAGAGGATGAAGGCTTTGCAGGGTCTGAGCAGCCTTTTGGGCTGGCTTGGATGTGCAGCTGGGCTAACTGTAAGGTTCATCAACCTTCTGGCTCACTTCTGCACCAACCTGAGCCCACTTCCAGCAATACAGTCCTGACATGCTCATGGACAGTGTGCAGCTTATGAAGTTCCAGGAGACCTTCCTTATTCTGGCAATTTTACATCTGTAGATGGTATTGCTGCTTCACCCTTTCTTCAGGCCAGTTAATCTTCTGCTTGTACCAGGACTTATTCTTAACTACTGCAGAGTCAAAGGCTGGGAAAGAGTAGGAGTGCAGCAGGCTGAAGAATGTGTGAGATGACTGGCTAAGTTTACAAACAGCAAAGCTCCAGGTCTTCACAGGCTGTATCTCCCTCCAGAGGTCTGCAGTTTATCAGGCACTCCAGTGACCTAAGTCTGGATGGTAGGTCAGGGAAACGGAAGTTTTTAGATTGTTTATTTCCCTAGGACTGCTGCTAATTTAATGATTTAAAGACTTCTCTAAGGAGAAAAACCTTGCTAAATTCTAATGGCTTCCAGCTGCTAAGCCAGTCTAAATAGTCCTGTCTACTACCCCCACTACCTGTCATTTTTCCCTCCAGACAGTCTCTCAGAAATGTCTGCTGAGTTTGAAGAACCTGTCTAGCAGATTAGAGGGTTTGTATCAGGCATAAGCCTGTTGGTTTTTTTCCCCTGAAAGCTGACCCCTGTCCAAAGCCAGCTATGCACAGAAAACATGTCATTTCTGCCTGTGCAAAACCAACATCCCCACTGCATAACTCTGCTCTGGTGTAATGAACAGCAACGTAGGAATGGTGTACAAAGATCCCAGCTCTAGCAGCACAGAACTCTCCGTCCCACTGAACTACATCCACACTATAGGCACCTTTGTTACAACGCCTCCTTATAATAACAACATTCAAAGTGTTTGCCCTAAAGAAAGATGTCACGCTGAGAGAATAGAGAGTACTTCAGTGAGCTCTATTCAGTAACTTCCTCTAACAAGAGTCATTTATTATCTTGATGTACACTGCATTTAAGTTCAATTTTTGTCTATTAGGAAATAATGTGAATTCACACAGATGTTACTTGTCTATTGGGAAGAAAGGAAAAAAAGCCCTATGTCTTTTGGATGCTGCAATTTACATGAAGGCAGGTCAGAATGCCCTTGGTAATGGCATGAGACAGTGGGTGTCAAAGCCTTGGTTTAAAGAAACCAATTATAGCAAAATAAAACATTATTGCAATTCATGCATAGTGTGCTTGAGCAGCAATGCTGTCAGTGGGAGGCACACGGGAAGTGAATGAGGTCTTGAATAGATGAAGAAAGAGATATAGAAGGAGACTTGGTCGCTCTTGGACTAACTAGAAAAGCTGCTTTAATCTCTCTGTATCTCTTTTCTCTTTCCTTCTCCCTCACTATCTCTTTGGGACTTTAGAAGATTCAATTAAGGGATTTCAGGGAGATTACACTGCATATCAGAAGGCATTTTTTTTTCTTTTTTTGAAAAACACCAAGTGCTTTATATACAGCCACATTAATGGTTGCAAACATCATGAGTGCCTTAAGATGTCTTCTTTTCAGTCAGACTTTCCTTGCATAATCTTCCATTAAAAAAAGAAAAAAAAAGAGAGAGGAAAAAAAATCACAGTGATCTTCCATGGTAGATTAATGTAGAATAGGAGTTCACATGCAGTCATTTAACATGTACCTGCCAGGCTCACGACAGCCTTCTCCTCAGCCTGGTTCACAGTGCCCCTCCATGCCAAACTGGGAGATTGGCTAAGGGCTCCACTGTACAAACCAGGCTTGGTCATGAACAAGAGGAAGTATATATTTCTGGTTAAATATAAAATTGTCATCTCCTAGTGCCAACAAAAACTCCCAAGCACAGAGAGGGAACTGTGGGATGCTGTAGAGATATCTTAAATCTTAATCCCGATGAGAATATTTCCATTGTGAGATGCAGCACTGCAGACTGAGGGCAAAGTGCAGTGTCCAGACCTTCTCCAGGGATTGCAGATGGATACAACTGTACTGTCTGAATCACCTCTGCTAATGCTCCCTGAATATCCCTGTAACTTCTCCTACTACTTTAACTGTCACTGTTTTGATTTGTGTGCATATCTGGCACTTGGTAAAATATAATGTTTAAGCATCTTCCCAAAAGACCCCTCCCTCTGCCTTATCTCTTCCGAAGGCAGTTTTATAGGACTGAGACCCTATTAGAAATTTATAGACTGGAAGGGGTAAGAAGACTTGAGAAATTACTATTAGAGTGGCAAGAAGGAAAAGGGGGAAAGCAAAACAACCCCAGGTCTAAGTATTTAGAAACATTTAAAAGTAAATGCTTTTGAATCATCCTCATTATCAGAAGGATCCTTATAATGCTCTCAGAGCTGTCACTGTAACTCTCAGAAGGAAAGCTGAGGCCTCTACTGCAAGGCTAATATGACTACCATTAGTTTTCAAAGTTCCTGCTCTTGCCAGTCTAATGGCCCTTTCTAGCTAGGATATCAGAATGCAAACTGTGGTGGAACATCAGCATCACTTGTTCCAAAAACACAGAAAGCTGTTTCTCTTCCCCCTACAAATCAAGAGTACCTAAATTGCTTTGACCATACCCAGTTGAACTTGTGCAATGCAATCAGCCGATTACAGCAGCTCCTGTGGTTGCAAAATAGAGTGAGCCATTTGGGCATGTACATCAGCTGTGAAAACAGTCTTTGTATGACACTGGGCTCAGTAGAATCTATCTGTGGGCTCCAAAGTAATGTCTAATCATGTGATAGTGCTATGAAACACCAGAAAAACTCTATGTTGCAAAAGCTGTGGATTTAAGTTTCATGATGCCTAGACTCTGTAAGAGGATATTAGACAAACAAAGAAGCTCATCTCACAAGACTTGCCAAGGTTAGGGCACAGGAAGCTAAGGGAAAGTGCAGCAGAAATGTTTATGAAACCAGTGTTAGATATGGATCTGCAAACAGGCTGGCACCACCTGGTGTGCAAGGATGACCAAAATAAATACCACAGATGAGCTCCATGCCAGGGTTTCAACTGACCACAACCAAGTGGGAAAGCAACTACAGTATTGCAAAAACAAGGTGCAGAGGGTAACACAGGAGTACAGATGATCAGAAGATATTACCAGCTAATGCTAAGCAAGTGAAAATAATACTTCCATAGCTTTTAAGACAACACTGGGTTTTCAAGAGATGAGCCTAAAGGACTCAAATATGATATAATCAAAGAAGAATGAGACTGAAACCTGAGGAGTTGCAATGGGACTTAGTGAAAAGACAGAAAACCTATGAAAAAAAATTGAAGGAAATTATTAAAAAGTAAAATTAATATATAGTATAATAAGAGTTGGGAATAGTTGCAAAAAGGCAAGTCTACCTTGATCACAATTATTTCATCATTAATGCCATGAGGACTAATCCACCTTAGTAAAATGAAGCAATTTGGCGCATGTTGGGTTTTTTTAAGCTGTCTGGTTTGTTTTGGCACAAGTGTACCGCAAGGGATGACATAAAAATAAGAATATTTTAACTGCTATTATGACCAGGTTTTTTATGCTATGAAAACTTGACTTCAGCTTTCCAAAGAGCTAATTGCTTCTGAAGGAAAATAGCTATAGTAGTTAATGCTTCTGGGTTCTTTCTGCATCTAATACATCCTTCAAGCCATGAAGTGTGTAGTACCTCCCTGTTTATCTTTCCTACTGTAAGTATTCCAGTTTTGTATCCTTTTCTCATGGAAAGTCCATCCACAGGCTTCTGCCATTATCCTTTTTCCACATATTTTGTAAAAGGATTAATGGACAGAGAAACAATTTTCTTGGTACTGGATAAAAAAGATAGTGTTTAGTGAGCTGCTTTTCCAAGGATATCACCTGTCTTGACTTGCTGGAGAAAAGTGAATTTTTTTTTTTCAGTGGGTGGTGCTGATGAGAAAAAGGAAATGGGAACAGACTTGTATGGAACCTTGACTCCTTTAGGTTTTTTTCTGAAATCCTAGAGGCATGTGAATGTAACTTTGGTCTGTTCCTGTCCTGTTTCACTTGTGCTCTTCTATCAAGATTTCTGCATTTACAAATCAGAATTTCTAAATTTCCATTCCAACTATTATCTCTGCCTCTCTCCCCGTCCATCCTAACAATCATGTTATATATAACATTTATGTGAACAAGTTAATACCTTGGGTTTCTTGCAGGAGTGCAGGCTGTATATTTGTGGAAATGATCCAGGGTCAGCCAATATTTGCAGCAACTTCTGGTACTCATGAACAGCTGGAGAAGATCTGGGCGGTGAGTAAAATACACTCTGAAATGGAAGAGAAAAAGAATCCATTGCTTCAGCCTACTTAATTTTGGAGTCCGAAGCATAGGTTCTGTGAATAGCAGAAAAAATTTGGTCTAATCTGCCAAGTTCATAGCAGACTTTGTAACCCATTTTATATTTGGCAACTTTCTTACAGACACAGGAGTAAATCAAATTACTTCCTTTTGATGTTTGTCATCTCATCAAAAATTTAAAGCAAATTAAAATTACATCAAATTGAAGAAGGCATAAAACGTGTGCAGGTACTGCAAATCCTGTAGCTTCTTTTTAAGTCCTTTACTAACTGTAGGATACAGTGCACCACATTCTCACAAAGGAGCTCTAATACTGCTCTGGAACTACCTTGAAAATGGCAAGACCCTGAGATTTGTCAGAGATCCCTCTTCACTTTAACTTGGCACATTTTGTATCATCCAGTGCAGCTCTAGAGACTGATTTGGCATAATAGAAAGTGTGAAATTACTTTATAAAGTGAATGAGAGCAACATATTTGGGTGCTTCCTAAGTTGTTTTTTCTGATGGAGAAACAGTAACCCAGAGCTGCATTCCTAGAGTTGGTTTGGCAGAACTGAGGCAGTCAGCAGCACTGACAGGTTCTGTGTGTTCCCAGCCCTGTTACTGACTCAACAGCAAGGGCAACCTGTGCATTCATCTTAGGTCTTGCTGTAGGTATCACTTGGTCTGTTCAGTCTGGAGAAGAGGAGTCTGAGGGGAGACCTCACTGCAGTCACCACTTCCCTGTGAGGGAAAGAGGAGGGGCAGGCACTGATCTCTGCTCTGTAGTGACCAGTGACAGGAACAGAGGGAATGGCCTGAAGTTGGGTCAGGGGAGGTTTAGGTTGGATATTACAAAAAGGTTCTTCACCCAGAGGGTGGCTGGGCACTGGAAGTGGCTCCTCAGGGAAGTGGTCACAGCCAAGACAGCCAGAGCTCAAGAGGCTTTTGGGTAACACTGTCAGGCATACGATGGAATTCTTGAGGTATCCTGTGCAGGGCCAGGAGTTGGACTCAATGATCCTTTTGGTTCCCTTCCAACTCAGCAGATTCTGTGATTCTCTGTCTGCCCTTTCACATTTCCTCCCAAGGATTTACTCTTATGCAAAGAGTGTTTCTGAAACATGGGTTTTCAAAGGAGAAAGTACAGAAAAAATAAACTTCATTAAAATAATGAGAAATTACTTCATAGTCATTAGACTGCTGCATTAGACATCTGACTGTAAGTCAGATTTTTCCAGCTTAACCACTTCATGCAGAAACACTCTTGTTTGGTAGGGTTTTCCTCTCTGCTTGTAAGTAGGAATGTGATTAAAAGTCAGGTAAGTGCATCCAGTTCTTAGACTTGAGTTCAGTCCATTTAAATAAATGCTGAATTTCTCTTTCATAGAGAGTGGCGGGAAAAAAGAATTCTTGGGGGGGGGCGGGGGGAAATCCATACTTGGCCAATTAACAAGGTTCAAAGCCGAGCAGGGTCCAGTTTCCAGTTTCTCAGGCTATCCTTACACTTATGTCTCTGAAATCTCAGGATACATTTCCTGTGGTTTTGCATTAGAGGGTTGTAGCACTATCATAATTTCTATGGTATTATAACTAATACCATGATTAACAGGATTTGTGCCACAGAAGGCAAAAAAAAACCCCCTTATTTAAAAATCATGAGGAATTTTAAAGAGATATGAAATAATTAGTGCTTTTCACAGGAGGTTTTATGCTATTATACAGCCTGGAATGAGGCTCTGTGTTAGACCAAGATTTCAAAGCTCCTTAGAGGCTTTCAATGTCTAGCATGAGATATTTTGCTGAGTGTGAGGTTCAGAATGGGGATTCCTACTGTTTTCTAATAGTCAGTTGCTTTCATGTACTACTAGTAGAGGTACCCTGCACTGGTAGAGAGACTGCATTTATGTGCATGAGTCTGTATCACCCAGTATGCTCATCTCCATGTGGGACTGTTGGTTCACACACCATATAGATACATGGTTGGAAAATCTCCCTTCCGTGAAATGTGTTTGTCCTGTTGAATCATCAGGACTGACTAGCTGTCATTTTACCAAAAATTGTTCTAGAGGCAAGTACCACTTAAAGCAATCTCCATCTCCCATCTCTACACCTGTCTGCTCATTGCTGTGTCACTTCTCACATGTGGGGCTACATGAACTGGGAACCCTGCAACTTTGTTTTCTCCCTGGCTTACTCTAAATGAGAACAGCTTTGCCCTTCTCATCCTCTGGCTGCACAAACAGTAGCCCTAATGAGCACTGGTACTCATGAAGGCATGGCACGGGAGCAGGGCCAAATGTGAAGGGAAGGCTGGCAGAGTTGGTTATGGAAGCGTGGCATGAGTGAATGAGAACCCCAGCATCTCCAGTTTGCTCATGGCATGGAGAGCAAGCAAACCTGACCAACTCAAGATCCATGATTCAAATTTTAAGAGGGAGGGCATAGGATTTGCATGCAAAAGCTCCATCTTATTGATTAACATTGTGCTGAGAAGGACTTCATATGAGCTGGATTAGGCTACAGAATGCCACCAGGGTGCCTCTGCTGCTGAGCCAAACATTGTGCCAAATGAATGACTACAAGGCTCCTCAACACAAAACACACAATAGGACTTCCCAACAAAATTAAACAAAATCAGCTATGTTGATTCCTTCAGCTAAGTCATCACAGGAGAAGCAGGCACTTAGAGGGCAGAGAGAAAGAACACCATCTTAAAGCACTTGCTGAAACACAAGCACTGTAAAAATGTTTCTGGCTGAAACTGTGTCTTCCCCAGTGGGCTGAACTGACCTGCAACAAGACCTTTCACTACAGAGTGTACAGAAGTTGCTTTGTTTTTTCTGATGACATGGACCAGAGAGTTGACATCTAGATTTAGGGTGGATACACAACAGGTAAAATAATTGTCAGAGTATAATTAATTTCAAATAAATAACTGTTACACATTGTCTGATTTGGCAAGGAACCTACTAAAGATCCAGACTGGGGGAAAAAAAGAGAAGAGAATGGAAGAGGAAGAGATCACTTTCCCATTACATTGGAAAATAAAAAGAGATGCAAGTTTACAGGTCAGAAAAGCATATTTTGTAAAGAAAAGGCTCAGAAAATGCAAATATAAATATAAATTGATACAGCATTCAGTGATTGGTGCTCTAAACACTTTCACTCCTCAATGCAGTAAAATGTAATATTTGCTATAATCATTATGTAGAAAACTATAAGTACACACAAGTAATTATTTATTTAAATTCTTCACCAAACAAAGCAGAATGCTGAGCTGACCCTGGCAAGTATGATTTTACTATGCATTGAACTTACCCAGTTTCCTCTTATGCCTGTAGAACTGATGTTTAACAGCTCACAAGAAACTGTGAAGAATGAGGACCCTCTGAGCAGGGCTTCCTAGAAAGCTAACCAGGAAGCCCTTTTTGCTTCCAGGATAGCAAAAAAAGAGCAAATTCTGGATTCAAGTTCAAATTCCAACTCTTTTCTGTACACAGAGAGTTTGCTTTGGGCAGACTTGTTCTAGTCACATGATCCACACATCAGTGAAGAAGGCATCCTCACCCAAGGTGTCAAATCACCAGTGGTGCCAGACAACTTGCAGTGTCCTCAGCCGGCTGAACACTGTGAGACACCTTCTCTTTGGGGAGCTTTCAAGCTTCCAAGGCTGATTTTATAGGTGAGCACAGACAAGGATCCTCCCCCTTAGTCTTTGCTGTGGCAGGCTGAGTCCATAAACAGCTTGGAACCATGGGCCACAGCAACCTGCTTCTCTTCAGAGGCCACCGTGCTAATGTGTGCCAGCAGTGAGGTGCACACCCTTCTTGTGGCTGTCTTCTCCAGACAGCTGCAATTGTCAAGCTGTTTCCTAGCTGTGAGTGAGAAAAACAATCAACTACCTGATGCTTTACAACTGCCACAAGCTGGCTTTATATTTCTTCCTTCTTTCATGTATTTTTTCACTGATGCCTGTTTTCTTGCAATCTTAATACAAACTTTTGGGAGGCCAAGTTCCCCATGTCATATATCTCAGCTCACATTTTAAGGAACAGAAATTGTCTATCATATGCAAAAGGTAACTAATGCAATACAAAGCTAGTGTTGGAGAAGAGAAAGTGAATAAAAACCCTGAAACTTTTAATGTTAAAATTTCACTGCTTTTTAAGGAAACCTGATAATTCTGGGGGTTGTCTGAATGAAAGCTTTGAATGCTTGGAGATAGCAGTACTGATTTATACTACCATTTCACATGCTGTGAACTCTTCTTAAATATGTGGCTTTACTGCTTTAGCACACATGATCCGTATCAATAGGCACAGGGTACTTTGCATGAGTTAAGTAATAATAATAAAAACACTAAACATCCACAACTGCAGAAAAATAGATATGCTCAATCTCACACATTTCAGAAACTAAAATGAAGTTGGAGGAGGCTTTACTGGCCCAGACTTTGCTCAGTGAGCAGCTACTACTGAAGCCCACAATCCCCAATAAAGGCCAAAGACACTGCTGAAGCTCTGTATCCTTCAGAGTGAGGCTCTGCTACCAGACCTGTCTGCCAGCTTTACTCTTTTACCTCAGAAGGCAAGGGTTTCTCAGAGCTCACAGCCTGTGCTGCTGCTGTACATACCAGCTGCTGCACATAGCAGCTGCTGCCAGTGCAGGTGGGCACAGAGCCTCACCCAGTGCAGCTCTGCTATGGGAGGACACCTTCAGCACTGGAAAGGGCTCAACTGTGTGACCCCCGGCTGGCAAACACAGGCAGCAGTGGCACCTGGCAGTGAAGCTGCATATGCCTTCACTGATGTTCCCAGCAGCAACAGCATTCAGTCTCAGCAGGAGCTTTTCTACTACATAATCAAGTGCTAAAATGTCAGTGTCCTTTATGCACAGTGGTAGATCCAGCACCAGCCAGGGCCAGTGTAATTCTGCATTGGTTTACAGGGAAGGTCAGTCACTCTCCTCTGAGAGTGATTCCTCCAACTCCACACGAAGGCAAAGAATGGGCAGAAAGAGGTCATTGTTCTTCTCACTCTCTTCTTTTGCAGGTATTGGGGGTCCCAACTGAAGACACCTGGCCAGGACTTTCCAAGCTCCCCAGCTATAACCCAGGTAGGATTTAACTCATGAGAAGGTCAGCTTTTCTCTGAGCCACTAGCCACTCCATTGTTGGGTCAGTAATTCTTACGAAAAATCCTGTGCTTCAGTGTTACTAAATCCCTGAGCTACTTAATGACAGTGCTGTTGTAGGACCTTCAACAACACTGGAATTGGCTTCGTTTACAATCAGAGGTATGTGTGTGGCAAAGCTGCCTCACTGAGTGCTGGTGTATATAAGTCTAATAGAAGATTTCATTGCTCAAAGTCTCACAGTGTATTTAGTCTCCACTCCTTAGTGGAATGGAGCAAAGAACCAGTGTCTTCTGGTTTAGACTGGAAAAGCTGACAGACACCTGGAGATGCAGTTTATCTGAACTTTCCTTATTTTTATGGAGATTGGTTTGGGGACCTTTAAACCTCAGCTTTAAAGGTCACTGTCCCTGATTTTGATGTTGGCAAGGTGAGAAATCTGTGTGATTTACAAAGCTGGATTCTTTTATTTCCACATGAGCTGGTAGAGAAGTCTGTGTCCTGAACTTCAAAGGGCCAGTTGTCTCTTATTTTGATGTGGGCAGGTTGAGAAGTATGCTTTGAAAAGCTAGCTCAGTCACTCTCCCTCTCCCTCTCTCTCTCCTTTTCTCTCTTTCTCTTTTTGTTTAATGTTTTCTCCTGGGAAAATATATTCAAGTGTCAGTGAGGGGGAAATGATGAGCACTGATTCTCAGCCTCTCAGCAGGATCATTCTGTAAGAGAAATATTAAAGTGAAATATTAAAAACCCTAGAATGTGAAATTCAGCTATCCACAATCTAGCCATTCTCTCTCACTTATACCATAGGAGAGTGGTGGGGGGAGCCTGTCTATCTGGACAGGGAAAAAAGAACAGGGGGGAGTGGTGGAGGGAGAAGAGTGCTTTGAGCAAGAGGTTTACAGGTTTAGTAGAGCATAGTAACATCTTTTCAAAGAAGGGGGTGTTGCTCTGTGACCCAGTCCAAGATGCCCCTCCTTTGATTCTAGTGTATGAACACTAAACAGCCCCCATTTTCACATGGTAGCTGAGATTGGCTGAACAATAACCTGGTCTCACAGTGGAAAGGACTGGAATCTTTCACACAATTAGCTGAGACACATTAATCAAACCAGCGTGAAATGGGAATGTGTCGCTGTCCACAGCAAGTTTAGTTTGGATAGCAAGCAAGCACAGAGCAGACAGCTGGAGGAAGCATTTTCTTCTCTAAGTTGTAGAAGGTCTGGCTGGAGTCTACAAGTTGAGAAGAGTAGTTCGGGGGATACAGAAATGCTCATGTGTGGGAGGAACTAATCACGAAGAATTTTTTTATGCCAGTCACCTGCTAATACGAAGCCTCAAACATACAAACTCTGAGTGATGATGGTTAGATATCCTGGTGCTATGTAGAGGCACAACCTAGAAATGCAAACATTAAGGCTATGTTAGCAAAGAAACTTGCACAGACAACAAAGAATGTGAGTGCCTCAAAGTGCTCTGAGTTCCCTCAGCTCTGTTTTGTCTGAGTAGTAGTGCTGTCCTCTGCTGCTCTGGAGGGTGCCAGTGGCAGGGCTGGGAAGGAGAGGACAGGCACCTGGACAGCAGGGCAATTGCTCCAGTTAAGTTGAGTCATCATAAGCAGTTTTCATGCCTGACTTGCTTTCAGACTCGATAGAAAGTTTCCCTACTGGATTCCAGAGGGGCAGAACTGACCTGTGCTATGCTGTGATACTGGGGTGCTGGTGCCTTTTGTGGCTGGACCAGACAGAAATGCAGGACTCAAAGGACACTTCTGTTGGAGCATCCCACAGAGCTGGCAAACACATGGAAGATGCTACATCAGTTTCAGCAATAGCTGTGTTAGCTGGAGAGGCAATATCTCTTTCCCCTCTTGAGAAACTAAGGGTCTGTGAGCTGTTCCAGCCACATACAGGAACAAAGCACTTGGCTTACACCTGGATTACACAAACCAGTCTGGACAGAAGAAGGCTAATCTAAGGTTGGACTATTTATCCCACTCATAAACTAAATCAATTCACTTTTTTATGAGACTGCTGGTAAAAAGACAAATTGGTATTTTTGCTTAAAGCTAAATGCCATTTATATGCTTCTGGCACTTCCCCTCTCTTCCCTGATGCACAAATGCTGTTCCCCCCCTCCCCAGAACATGCTCAGCCCAAATACAATCTGTGGAGTCAGCCTGAGAAAGCCTTCTCTCCTGAGGTTATTCCCAGACCATTTGTGTGAATCTGGGTGCCTGGGTTGGTTCAGATAAGCAAACAAACTTTGGAGCTCTTCCCCAAATCTAATGGTTTGAATTCTTTTAGCTAGTCCTATTGATGTTCACACTGAGCACAGGCAGCAAACAAACAAACAGGTTCCTGCCCGCGGCAAGGAATGAACACGGGCAAAACAAAGCACTGAGGTGTGATCCTATTCTCATTGAAGTTGATGGCAAAACTCCCACTGGATTCAGCAGCGTAGGCTCAGCCCCAGACTGAGATTGTTACTGGAAGGGTTCCTGGGCCAGGTGGGTTAGTAGGAATCTTTGAAATGAAAGCTGGAAACCTTTAGATGTTTTCCTGTCACTGCTGTGGGCTTGAGCACATCCTGCTGCACTCTGAAAAGGATACAGCATGGGCTGTGGGGTCTGAGTCAGGCACACACAGGGCAGCTCCTCTGCCTCCTCTGTGGGCAGCTGGCAAGGGATGAAATGTGCAAAGGCGTTTTTGACTACCCTAAATCCCAGTGTCTTGCACAAAGAAGTTCAAGAACAGCCTCATGCCCATTCCCTACAGTTTGCCAAAGTCCCAACCTGACTCCAGGTGAATGGGAAGGATGGGTCAGTAACCCATTAGTGGCCAGCCCTGCAGCCTGAGATGTCACCTTCTCTCTGCAGGAGAGACACTTGGGGTAGGGAGCTCTGTGCAGTCACAGGGCCTGCAAGCCAGTTGAGAGCCATTCCCTGGAGAACATTGGGAGAGCTCCTGTCCCACGTCTCAGCACACTCGCTGGCCGTCTCCCTGGCTCCCCGGCTTACCAGTCCTACCCATAGTGACAAGGCTTTGCCCTGTGTTTGTTCATTTGTTCTGTTCCCTCATTTTGCTTCCCCTGAAAGAGGCAGTTGCAGCTCTGTTAACACTATTTTTGAAAGCTCTCATGCTGAGTGAGCTCAAATCCTTGCATTAATCTACTGCTGTGTTCATTTCACTGGACTGAAAAGCAGTGAGTTTAAATCCCCTCTAAACACCATCGGTGACACCAGAAGGCCAGTGTTTTGATCCAGCCCCATTAATGGTTACAAGTCTGAATCTAGACAGCAGGGGTCAAGGGCAGGAAAGGATTAGGAATCACAGCCCATGACATTAAGCTAGTGCTTTTGCCAAACTGGGAATACTGGAGCGCCCAATGTACCGAGTTAGTTTTTGTTTCCTTTTTCTGACATTTGGATTCCAAAGAGTGGAAAGCAGTGCATATCTATCAATAACATGATGAACTGAGAGTAAGCTTTACTCCTTGATTTATTGCACAGGCTGAATCATGAACTTGCCTGTGCCAGGTAATATCATCTCACAGTGCAGATGCAAGTTTCACATGAGGCTTTTTCAGATGCAGCAATGACTTTCAAAGAAATTCTAGTTTTTCACGTATCTGCAGGCTTTGGTATGCTGAATGAGATTTAGAAGCTTTCCAGAGTCAAGCTGTGCTCCCAGGTACGTGTTTTCAGTGTCTGTTGCGTTTCCAAAATTTCACCAGCAGATGGAGGCAACAAGCAGCAGGCCCTGAAACACAAACTTCCCATGACATTGGTGAAAATGCAGATGAAGTCTGCCTTCCGAGTGCTTTGTTTTTTGGTTTTTTTTTTTTTAATTTTTTTTTTTTTTTTTTTTTTTTTTTTTCTTTTTTTTTGTTGATGTTTTTTTTAACACATGGGATGGTTGAAAACTGNTTTTTTTGTAATCTCACTTTTTATGTTGATGTTTCATTTAACACATGGGATGGTTGAAAACTGAATTCTAAAACGATAAAATTTTTATTGTCATAATAAACTGCATATGGCTTTGATCTCAAAGGGAAGAGCAGCACTATAACTAAGTGCAGTGTAAGCAGCCAGGGTGTAGGGAAACTTCCCGTCTGTATGGCAATGGGCACACAGCCTGCAGTTTCCAGCCTGCCACATAGACAGAGCTCTGCTCCTGTCCTGAAGCCACAGAGATTTCACTAATGAGAGAAATTTTTTCTGTGAGCCTGCAACCCCACTGCCTTCATCCAGCAGCACTTGGCATCCTCTTTCTCTCTCTTCATCAATTAGGAAAGTTTAACATTTGTCCTTTGGCTTGCTTGCCTCATTATCAGCTCATTAGCCACTTCCACCTGGGTTTTCAAATAAGAAGGTATTTCCTCATTAGCACACTCTACCTTGCATAAGGATAGAAAATAACAAACCTATGTGCTGCCTTTCAGATCTACTCATAGTGTTAAAAAAGCCAATCAGCACTACACAATCCCATCATTTTATGTCGCGATCATCATTGTGAGATAATTAAATCACTAGTTTATCTACTTTTTTGAATGATCTATCATAAAAATATTTTTTATGTCTTATCTTTATGGAGTAGCTGTTTACAGTGTTTTTCAATTTTAAATTGGTCTTAATCTTACAGTAGGGAAAATATTTACTGCTCTGTTTTTATCTTGCTCAACACAATGGGGCCTCAGCATTCTCTAAGGATTTGTCTATATGGGGTCAGTCAGGAGATTAATCTGAACTGGTTTAAAGTGCTTTAGTTAACTGCATTAATTCCTTGAGCACAGACACACTGTTTTCTTACCCATACTTTCCATTTATAATCAAAGCTCTGTATACTCAAAGTGGCAAATTTGGCAGTCCTCACTCAAGCTGAATTCTTCACTGAGAGATGTGTTTGGACAGGGACAGGAGTAGGTGGCTCACTGGCTCTTACATTACCCTTGCAGATAATTATTAATCTCCAGGTTACATAAAAGATAAATTTAAGTCAAGAGGCTCACTCAAGACAGCAAATTCTATTATTCAGGTATTCTTCCCAGTTCCCAGTAAGCAAGCTGATATTTTTATTTCTAATGTAAAGAAAATCCTATTTCCTTCTTCGGAATGTTAGTCCTGAAAACACACTGCAAAAACAAAGTGACATTTCCCTAAGATATCATTGAAACATTTTGCCCTGCTGTTGCCAACTGAACATACATTTTTAAAATTCTGTGTTAAACTCATTGAAGAATATTAATGTTAAAAGATTTCAGTACAGTACTTAAGTAATCTTGGCGTTTTTACTAATATTTAATGAAATTTATATATATTCATAAAATACTTTCATCTCACAAATCAAATTTTTCTGACAGAAAGTTACCACATCTGAAAGTTTTTGGCCAGCTCTGTGAAGAGACAAAAATTTATGCCTCATACAGAAAAATTTTTTGCCTTTCCAAACAATTTTTAGAATTGTTTTTCTTCTAGTCTATCTGGAAACTTTACATTGGTAATTTATTTCTACATTTTTATTACAGTCAAGTGGGCAAAAAAAAAAAGGAAAGTGATCCAAGAGGAGTGTTCTGCCAGTCTAGATGACTTATTTGGGAAGGAAGTATTCAAGACGCTAATATATATACCCTCTATATATTGGTGATATGCAGTGCTCTGGCACATAAACAGCCATGAATCCCATCCCAAGTTATACTCCCATTTACTGCTCTAGAAACTACCTTAGTATTTGGGTGTAGGAGAATAATTCAATTCTGAACAATTACTTACCCTGTGTAATGTTTTGAAACCTGCTTGCCTGGTTTAATGGTGCAAGATTGCTGCTGGAAAGGTCAAGGGCTGGAAGTTCAATCATTTACACTTTTTCAAGTCATCTGTACATCAAGTCAGACGCTGGGTCTGGTGCTCTGGAAATGGCTGTGCAGGCAAAAGCAGAGGGGACTCCCACTTGGACTGCAGCAGCAGCTCCTGTGCATTAATGAAGAGCCTGGTGCTTCCAGGCAGGCAGGAAGGGCAGATGCTCTTGAAGGGTGCAGCGTTAACCAGCTGAGCTCTGATTCTGCTGGCAACAGACCAGTGGTGCTTGCCTCCTGGTGGTCTCACTGCTGTGGGGAATGCTTGTCTAGGCTGAGCTGGAAGAGTGGTGGACACTACCCTTCCTGCTCTCCTTCCCATGACTAGAGTGCCACTGTTCATTCTCTGCTGTCAAAAACAGTGCTCAGGAAAATGTAGGTGGGTAGAAATTGCAGCCTTTCTGATGGCAAAAAAATCTCTATGTTTATCAGCTCCACCAGGAAATTTTCCAGGCTTAAGCCATTCATTTGTATCTAAGCCTGAGAAAATTCTTGCTTTACAATAAAGCATTTGAGGATTGTATTCCTCTATTAATGAAGAGCCACAATGTTTAGAAATATCTCCTTGAAAAATATCAAGAACACAGACTTCACAACACTGCAAACTCTGCTGAGTTCCATTCTGGTAGGGATCACAATAATCAGTGAGTTACAAAGCCTCCATAAGCATGGTTAACTGGACAAACAACAAACTTAGTGAGAGCTGTGGGCAAGAAGAAAGTGGGATCAAAGTGCTTTGTCTCCATCCCCAGTCTTACTTTTGCATCCATGTAGAAAAGCCCCATGTACCCATGGGGGCAATATGTGAAGCTCAGCAGCCCCTTGGAAAGACAAGACAATTGACTGGGGATTCAGGCTGGCAAACTTCTTTTTGCTTCCTTTGTGTGAAGGCTTTAGGGACTGATACTGCTTTTATTGATGTCAAAGCTAAGACTCACACTGTAACAGGAGGAGGTCCAAGGCCTGTACTCACAGATATACAAAAGGAAAGGGTTACAGAAGTGGAACAGCCTTATTAAGATCAATGCAGGTACTCAAGTCCTATAGGAATAATGTATATTTATAAATAATAAAATGATCGATTCTACAGGGCCCTTTGAAATTCTGAGCACATTTTTTGTAGGGGCTCAGAGTTTTGGCTTGATTTTCATTTAATCTTGTGATTGCATATTATACCTTCCAGAACTGGTTGCTTCCAGGAGACCTCAGAGACTCCGAGTCATCTGTGACAGGTAAGGTACCTATAACAGCGATGTCAAATCGCCTCTGGGTTTATTTGTTTCTTTATGCAGTCATTTAACTTGAAATGAGCTCCTTTGGCAAGCTCAGGAAGAGCAGGGTGGCTCTGTAGTAACAAGCAGATCTAACATCAGTTAAGCAGCTGATTTTGAGAGATCGCAGCAAAGGTAGGCACACAGTGGGTTTATTATTCTCAGAGGAGTAGTGATTATTCTGAGATAAGCAGTGATTCAATGACTTTGTGTGCAGCTTTTTGTGAGACACAGTTCGATTGAGAAGGTCATACTTTCCCAGGCTCTCTTGCCCAGACTGAGGACAGACTTCACACTGTCCTAGTTTTCATTTTTGAAAACAGATTGTAAGAATGTTGCTCAACAGCAGTAAGGAAGACATGCTAGGACAGCATTTTCATGAGACAAAGAAATAATCTTGTGATTAGCTAGGAGGGGAAAAATCACATTCTTAGTGGCCAAAGCTATGAGATGAAGGCCATGGTTACACACACAGCTTGACCAGACACACCAGCACTGCCAAATCACTCCCTAGTGTGCTAAAGGAAGGGAGTATTTTTTTCAGGCACACACACACACACACACACACACACACAGAGAGACACAGAATGTATCTATGTATCAGTGAAAGATATTTATAATCAGTCCAAAGTGCCCTAACCTAGCTGAGGGAGTCATTAAAATCCAATCCCCTTAAACTGATTTTGAGGCACACAGCAAGTTTTATAGATATGTAGGAAAAGACAAGACAGTATTTGTCCTCAGGATTGTGTACATGAAGATGTCAATAATCAAATATCCTTTGAGGACAAAACCACATTTTTGATTGCTGTTTATTATCTGTTCAGCTAATAAGGATCCAGCCCTGCTAGGGGGGAAGTGTGCTGCTCTTCAGGTGCAGTTCTAAATGGCTGAACAAACATGCTAAAGTTTTCAGCAAAGCACAGGTTACTGAAATGCACAGCTTGAGAAACACAGAAAGCTCAATATGTCCCAAACCCTTATAATGCAGGTCCTGGAACAGAACAAATCCTCTCTCAGCCTGAACAAAGAAATAAGTATATTCCTTGTGACTGTGCTATATTGTACTTCTGCTTTTTGGCCATAATCCTTTGACAGACCCCATTGCAGGCCAAGCCAAGGGCTGGCCTAGCACCTCTGTGGCAGAGCTCTGGGCTGCATGTGGGCCAGCTCCAGCTCTGCCTTAGAGTCCTGGTCATTTGGCTGCCATGGCCAAATAACTGCCTTAGAATGCTCAGCCTGGGAGAAGGAAAGAGCTGCTTCATACAGACCGCTCAGCTATGACTCTCCATGAGCAATTAAGAAATCAAAAGGGAGCTCTCCACAGAGCTTGGCCACCACCAGGAAGCCTGAGCCATGCTGGGAAGCATGGAACTGTGTTGTTGCTCAGAGTGGGAGCCTGCAGCAGCAGAGACCAGGGGGCTGAAGGTTTCCAGTAAGACCCTGTCACGGCAAGGGCAGCCTGTCATGCAGCTCTAGCAAGAGGCCTCAGACAGGATGCTTTGGCTTCTTGTCCCAGCCCTGCTCCCCAAGGAAACAAGGGCTTGAACTGTTTTTCTGGAGGTGAAAATTAGCAATTATCTACCACAGAGAGGCCAGATCCCTTCTACAAATTTGTTTCTCAGGATCTCTTTCTCTCCTTCTGTCTTGGTGTTTTTTCCTCTTCTTTTATATTTTACATTTTATCTCCTCCAAACAAAAATGTCAGCATGTCAAATGTCCTGTATAGGGAGGGGGACTGCAGGAGTGGGGGGATCCCAACCCCTGATATCACTTGGAGGGGGTGCACTGTTGGGGGCCAAGGGAGGAAGCACAACAGGCCATGCTCTGAAGCTGAAACGTGATCAGAACAAACAAACAAAGTAAAAGCTGTAAAACTAAATTACTATTTTATTTGTTTCCTTGTTGGTTTGTTTTCGCTCTTCCACTTCCTTGTCCCCATCTGTGTTCTCCTCTAGGGAGCAGCCACTTGGCATTGGTATTTGCTGGGCATGGAGCATATGTGTATGACATTTCTTTTAAGCACTCATCCTGAGCAACAGATTCTTCTCTGTGAATCCCCAACACGTTTTACAACCAGCTACATTACTGGTATTGGGGTAGGAGAAGAGAAAATGGTATTTTCATTTGTTTTATTAGGTTTGACCTCTAGTCTTCTCACTGGGCCAGTCACGTTATTTTCTACATTTGGATTGTCATTGTAAACTGGTACCACTAAACTCTGATATTACAGTTACAACATAGTCTCCTCAGCGTCATTTCCCCTTTCACTTACAACCTTCTTTTTAAAAGCCAGAAACTGGTTTTCAAAATTGGTCTGTAAACATGAGTTTGAGCTGAAATCCTGGATGCATATACCCCAACATAGTCAAACTCAGATGGAAAAGCAAATTTCCTGCAAAGCTATAAAGCTGGGGTGGGTTTATCCAGCTCCCCTGTGTCCCTCCACTACCTTTGCCTCAAGCTGAGAAGGGCTGGGTCATGTTCTGGTTCCAGCTTTCTGGCTCATCTTCATCTGCTGTGCTATTCTTTCTTCTGTTTTCCTAGGATGAGCAGGGTGCCAGCAGCAGAGAATTTGGCCTCCAGGATGCTCACAGCCTTCCCTCGAGGCCGAATCTCTGCACAAGATGCGCTTCTTCATAGCTTCTTCAGCCCTCTGCCTCCTCAGCTCTATCAGGTTCCTGCTGGTAAGTTAACTCGCAAGTTCATCTCACCAAGGAAGAGCTGCTGCCTGTGCTATTTACTGTGAGTTTCTTCTCTATTTTGAAAGTCTCTGCCATTCACCTGGATGTCTCTCTTTTCTGCCTGCACTCCCTCCCCACTCCTATAAGCTGCAAAGTTTACATCCCATGGCAAATTTGAGAACTTGTTTTTCTATTTGACCACTGTGTTAATATTAGAAGGGGACCTTGATGGGGTGCTACCATGGCTGTCTGCAAAGCAGAGGTGTATATGCTTTGACATGTCATCTCCCCCATTCTGTAACCCCCAAGGGCCTGGACATTTCCCCAGCTCACTCTGTGTGTTCAGTGTAATTCACCCACTGTCCCTACTGATGTCCTGAATTCCCATCTGCTCAGCATGGTGTGCTAACCCCAGTTCCCTTAGCCTGCTCCTCCCACTCCCTTCTGATGTTGAGACAGCTGTTCCTTGTACCCTGTCACACCAGTTCTCCCTCAGTTTTACCTGCTTTATTTTCTTCTTCCCTTGCTCCCTTCTCTTAAGCACACAGCTGCACACACAGTTGTGCCTCTCCTGGGCTGGGCTGACAAAAAATACAGGGTCTCTCAAGCTGCAGTTCTGTTCCTCACTAGGGAAAGCTTCCTCCTATTGGGCTGCAGGCCAAAGGGACCTTGCATTCCCTGTTGCCTCCTGGGCACCCTGTACACTAGTTAGTTTGGTGGTGTTTTTAAGATGGGGCAATTAAGGAAAAGCCTTCATGGACTGTGTTGTCAAGCTATTGGAAAACCAAATTTCTGCCTCCTGCGACACATCCCAAGTGGAGGAGCAGCGAGCTAGCACCTCTCCCAATCCCCCAACACTGCTGCCCTTCAGAAGGTGCTCTGTGTGTGTATGTGCTTGAGTGAGAGACATCTGCATTCCTTTTCTGTTCACCCAGCCACAGAGCACAAATCTACTTTGACACTTTTAGAAAAATGAAAAGATGGAATCTCACAGGAGCCTGCCTGTGCCGGGGGGGGAGGAGGGGAGCACGCACAGCAGGAGGGAAGTTGACTTTTCTTTATACATATAGGGTTTTTTCCATGCAGAGTTTAAATTATGCCTGATAAAAGGAGTTTCGTGGATGTTTCAGTTCTTTCAAACCCTCCTGGCTTCCTCCCAATTAAATGAGGTTTGTCAAAGCCACAGGGCTCTGCTGCTGCCAGAGAGGCGGACAAGCACTTCCCGCAGTGACATCTCCAATCCCCAAGGGAGAAGATGAAAGTGTCAGTGCTGAGAGAGAGAGAGAGAGAGAGGGAGAGGAAAAAAACAGGTACAGAGACAGACAGTGTGAGAGAAAGGGAGAGAGTGAGAAGAAATAGAAGGAATGAGAAAACAGACTGGCATAATGTGTCAATCTCTCCAATATGCTGCCATTGAGGGGACAGATTCCTTTCACCTGGATTTAGGCACCATCCCATATTTATTATCCTCCATATTGCAGCAAGAAGTATGTGGACAGGAAACTGCATGGCGTTATCATAGCAACCAATGTGTTGAGAAAAGAATCAAAGTGCACAGGGCTGAAACAAGTACAGTACGATCAGGCAAGACCATATTCATGAGTGACTCATTAAGCCTGTGAAATTTAGGCTATTCTGAATAATTCCCCATGTAGCCTTCCTTTTGCCATAATTGTTTATGACATTTGCTCTCTTGTGTCACTTTGGCATAACACTCTTTTGGAATTTAACTGTATAATTTTAAAATTCTTGTTGCTATGATAACAGTGCAGATTTTAAATATATTCTGTTCCCACTTTGTTCTGGAGGATGCTGGCTATTAGTTGCCATCCTCTGAAAGGGAAAGTTAAAGCAGAAGGGCAGAATGTGATCTGGAGATGAAAGGTCAAAGAAGCTGGGGCTAATCCCAAGGTGTGTGAGAGAGTAAGAAGGAAACAAAATTTGAAAAAAAGAAAAGGTTCTCATAAGAAATTATTCTGTTTTTATGAAATAACTGTATCCATAACTGTCCTTTTTATAAGTTGTTATGACAAGCTGGAAGCTAGAGGATGTTTTTGAAAGGTCGGTTCCTAGGGAAAAATAATTGGAGAAATCACTGTTTCGAAGTTAAGTACCCCTCCAAACAGCATGTTTCAGATTCCTAGGAGGAATGTTAATGGTTAGAGGCTGGCTGCTGCCCCTGGGAAGGGGGAGAGGGAGCACAGGGCTCTTTACTTCCTTGAGAACAGTTCTTACAGGGTGGAACAGGTTGCTGTTGCTATGCTCATCTGAGTGCAAAGTGCTACAAAAAAGAGTAGGCCATGCTTGAAGGGAGGAAGAAGGTTCACTGTCCTCTGAGTGGGGCTGGCCCACAGATGGGCCTCTCCTACAGCTGCTCATTCCTGTGCCTGTAGCTCTAGGAGGGGATTCTTGAGGGCTGGGTTCAAACCTTGCTCATCCTCTTGGTGGCCTTAATTCTACATGTGCCACCAGCACTTCTGGATATAAAAAGAGAGAGAGGTGCAGGAGTTTCTTCAGCTTTCCCTCAGTGTGGCTAAGTAGCCTAGGGGGTGGTAGTGATGACCTTTTTTAAAACTGGAGCATTTGCTATGCTTTTTCTGGCCAGAGCCAATCCTGAGACAATTATCTTTGTGCAGTGCAGCCCTGCACTGCAGCAGCTCTGATAAAACTTCATTCTAACCCTTTGCCACCTGCTAAAGCAGAATGTTTTCTGTCCAATTAATCCCTCCTGGAAGAAAGATGAGATCCTTGAATCAAGAAAGCATGAGCTGTGCTCTCAACTCAGTGTCAGTCCTGAAGTGCAAAAGGGCCTTCTGAGGAGGTATCTCACTCTGTTGTCAGGCAGGTCAGACACAGTAACAATTGCAGCTTATTATTCTTACTTATAGCTTTGGTTTGTTTTTCCTCTCTTTTGCCCCCCAATGCTTTAGAGCAGCCTTGCAAGCAGGGAAGGTAAGCAGTGGGATTTGGGGTTATCAACAGTGCACTCCCAAGAAAATACTCTGCAAGAAGAGCTCTGGCCAAACCACTCAGGCACAGGGGCCAGGGAGACCAGATCCTTTCCCCACCAGACCAGTGTTCAGTCTCAGGAGAGACCTTTCTCTCAGTGTAGGAGACATTCAACCCTGGCCATACCCTCGGTACAGCAGTTAGTAAATTCCAGTACGTGCTCCATGAGGAGGATTGTGTGTTGCATGGATGGGATCCTGGCTTTGACTAGGGGTTACTTGCTCTTTTTGGGTACAGTTGGTCTCTAACTGTTATCTCCCCCAGCAACACAAAACCAGTGCACCAGATGATGAAGACACTGTACCATTTCTCCTGAAACAGCCCACTATTCATCCTTTCAGAGACAAGGAAGAGGAGGGAGGCTTGATGTTGACAGTCATTTTAATGTCTGCTGCATCTAAACTAAGACAAAGCAAGTAAGGAAGTGTGGGTGATAAGGAGGTTAAGTTTGCAAGCCATTGCCTACCAAAAATCCCAATACTGTTGGGATTAGCCAGCACTGGTATGTTATCACAGGGGACATAGAAAGAAGAGCTGGCTTTCATCATCTCTTGTTTGGGTTGGCTGGTTTCCCTAGGTTCTCCTACATAACTAAAAGTTTCATACAGTCACTTGATTTTTTTTACCACTCTGCTTTGTGATCTCTGTATACAGCAAACAGATATCCTTCACTGTAAGTCACATACAAACACCTAGAAAGTTCCTACCATATGTATGAATCTGGTTTATAATGTGTCTTAATACAAGAATAAACCAAAGCTGGTGATGAGCAGGAAATCAGATGCCCCTCCTAAGCCAGAAGCATTCTTATCTGTGAGGTGATAAAACAAATCTTCACTTAACTGAGGAAAACCACCCCCCACTTCACCTGGTGTGATCCCCACAGTAGTGGAAGATCTGCTTGCCTTCATACTGACAGGACGTGAATGTTTTGTATTGTCATTAAACCACTACCCTAGGAAAGAGCTGTTGCAACATCACAGCAGATGCTTGCCAAGTGCACAGGGCTCTGGACATGTTGCCCTGTTGAAGCTCTTCCCTGCATGCTGTCCTGGGGCAGGCATTGTGCTGGGCACTGTTTAGGAGTGCAGGGCAAGGGGGAAGATGGGAAAAGGAAAATTTCCTTTGCTCACTCCCCAGCTCCTGCTCTTGCAAAAGCAACTGGTGTAATGTTTGGCCCACATGACTTGTGGAAACAAAGTCCTACAGACATGGATCAAATGCTCTGAATCCCATTGATCTCAGGCCAGAGAATCTCTATAAAGGTCTTATTGTTCAGAGAGACAAACCATTCTTGGGGGGAGTGCTGTTAATACCATTCGTGGAGGCAGACACTATTGCATCAGAGGTTAGCAGATGTTTTTCAGTTTTGTCTAATTGCAAGTTATAGCTGAGGTTTATTTAACTTCCATTTTCCCTTTAACATTCTTAAATGCAAATCTGAAAATATTTAGTTGTCTTGTTTGCTGTGAAAAGACATCCAGACTGGAAGTCTCACATAGTCATTTCCCACCCTCAGGTGCACTTCTGACTTCACCCACTTATCAGCAGAAAAGAGTAAATGTGGAGGTAGTGATCAGATTTCTAAGGCACAAAAGTTAAAGCTAAGTTTGAGATTGTGACAGCAAGCAACCATGAGCATAGGAACTCAATTAGCCTGAAAGACAACTATCTCATTATCTTTCCTAAAATGATATAAATACATAAGAATATAAAAATTTAAAATAAACTCTCTATTGACTGTCTAGATGACTGAATTTCACTGCTCAATTTCTTTAAACACCCACTTTAGTATTTATTTATTCTAAGCGCGAAGCAGCTACGATAATTAGACTGTCAGATTTGGTAAGTTAATGAGGAGTCACTGGAGTGGAAGGTTTTGCATTTGTGAGGTTGCTGAAGGAGAGAAGCTCTGTGCCTTCGCTCTATCTCTTTTTTCTTTTTCTTTTTTTCCCCTCTGCTGGGTGGGAAGGAGAGAGCTTGGCAGTGTGCAGATCCATTTGAATCCTTTTGATTAGCGGGTTGTCTTCCTACCACTGTTCTACCAAATAGTATTTTGCTGGTTGCTCCAAGAAAAAGAAAAAGAATAAAGAAAAGAAACTGCAGATGAGATTTCTAGAGAAGAGTGTCTAGATTAAAGAAATAATTTTCCAAAAACAATCAGAAGGAATGCAGCTGTGAGAAATAGGATCTTGAATTAGTTTATATTTCAGCTAATGTCACAGGAGAGCATTAAGAAAGTAGCACCATGAAGGAAAAGGACCCTTTTGCAGCTTTCTCTTTAACCTGATTTTTCCACAGGGCAATCAGTGCTCACAGTTCCAGGGGTGAGACTGCAACCTGAAATCTGTGACCTGTTTGCATCTTACCGAAAAGGCCGTGTCTCAGGAGGTTCGAGCAAGTTTTGGTAGAAATCATGGATGATTGACTAATTCTTGGGTAAGCATGTAGTTGCCATTGTCAAAGCTGTTGCCATCACCCTTAGGACATTTAGTTCTTCATGTATTGAAGATGGGAAAATAGACTTGATACTCAGGGCTGGATGATCACATTCCAGGGTGAGAACAAAGTGGGAAATTTCACATTCAGAGAGAAGAGACCAGCAAGCCAATGGCCCCCAGTGAACAATGTTCAGTGGTACCATGGGAGGTTTGGATTTGTTTGTCATACTGCCAAATCTCAGACCAATGCCCTTTCCTCCAATGCCTCCCCAGTAAAAGTATTGCTTCATTTCCCCATTGCTTAAACTGACCAAATTGCTTCGTTTGCCTTTGTCCTTGCCTACTGAGTTCACATTTCATAGCTTACTTGTTTTGATTTCACACAATTTGGAACCTGAGCAGAGCTAGGCAAAATCTCCTTATCTTGTAATATCTTTGGTTTTAATTAATCACTATTTTAATCCCAGGTTTCAAAATTATGCTTCAGCATCAATGTTTTTCATCTTTTTGTTATAGAAGAGCAAAAGCTTGCTTAGAATCACTGTTATTAAAAGAAATTACCAGAAAATATCCTTTTTTTATATCCTGTCTCTTTGTTTACTTTGTGCATTTGTTAGCAGCATGTGTCCTGTCAGTGTCACTGCTGGGTCTGTACTTGCAGGGCAGACCTGGAAAATTATTTTCAGGCCAAATTAGTGTGACTGTCTTATTGTCTGTCAAGCAAAGAGACAACCTTAGCATAGCAGGACACACCTCAGCTACCCATCTGTTCTTCCAAATGCATGTAGATGGCCTGTATCTGCTATAGGATCAGATCCCAGCACTCAGTGCTTGGTCTCACAGCCTCTCTACCCTTTCTGTCCTCATCATGTAGACAATAGCAGGCAGAGAGGCCAGCCTGGAATCCTTTTAAGAAAAACCTGACATTGCCAGCGCTGTGACCAGATTTGGTTTTGGAGCAGCTTGAATGCCTTCCCTGCTCACCTGCTCAGCTGAGTGCAGACAGGATGGCTTTTCCCTCTCTGTGATCAGAGAGAAACTAATCCTGCCAGAAAAGCTGGCTGTCAGTTCCACTAAGGCTTCTGGGACAACTCACTTGAGTAGGGCACTCATGCATCAATGTTCAATGAACTTGGATTGGGCCCATTTAAAATTATTTAGAGAGCATTTCACAAATATATAATTTAAAATTGTAACTAGTGGGAGAAACTCGTCACATTTTTTGTTATATATTAACCAGTCCTCAAAATTATTGTGTCCCTTTTTTTAGCTGCTTACAAAGCATGCTAAACAAGCTTAAATGTCAACTCAAGTTTTCTTCTGCAGTTCATTGCAGGAAAACATTCTATATGTGATGGTGTTCATATTATTAATTCTCTTTTTTAAAAAGTCATCTGGATTCAAACATGCAAGCAAGGTTATAAATGAAACAGTAATTTTTTTTTTTTGTCATCTTAATAGGGTACGAGTTTCAGGCAGGGGCTTCTGCATGCTTTTTCAATTCTAATGAGAGGCAGATAGGCATCTAAAGCACAACAGTCTTACACTGGCACATGAGAGAATGGAATTTCCTGGGAACATAATGAAACTGGCCAGCATTCCTTCCTTCGCCAACCTGGGTTAAGTTACAAAAATAGACAAAACCAAAAAAGTAAACATACCAGGCTCCATCTTGAATCCATGGGCCCTGAGCAACACAGCAAGGGACAAAACATCATCACAGACTCCTCCTTGTCCTTCTGGTTTCAGGTAAAGATGAGATACTGTCAGTTGTCTATCCCAGGGTGATATATACTCCATGCCAACACTCCACCCATTTTCTGCCCTATTCCACCCACCACTTTCCCTCTACCTGCTGAGGAGGAACATATGGGTCATTGGAATCTGCTACTGTTCTCATTCTGCCTCTCAAAATAAATATTCAGATATCTAATGCGGCACCTCCTACATGTATGTGATACTGTACCAGCTAAGTGTAGCTGAAGCTACAGGAAGAGAAGAGCCTGTTTTAAACCAGCTTTTAACAAGCAGAATAACTGAAGGCACTAGCCCTGCAGAATATTTGTAATTGTAATTTCTTTTTCTTTTTTATTCAGGACTTAGGCCATGGATTTTTCCCCTAATATAATTCCTCTGCAATAGGGACAGATTGTACCCTCCCTTACACGAAGGACCATTGAAATAATTCCTTATATTGACAAAATGAAGAAAAGTCTTTGAGATTATAAAAGAAGGACACAGTTTGAGGGGTGGGGTATTTTTCAAAAGTCACCTTTCAGTAGAAGGGAATGAAATTGTGCAGATGTCCTGCCTTTTGTTTTTCAGAAAGCAATGTCAGAAGGATTGACTTGGCAATGAAGAGGTAACAGCACAGTCTGGACATTGAACTTGCAGAATATACTCAGCCATGTGTCACTTAATAGAGAGCTCCCTGGACCAGAAGATCGATGTACAAACAGGACAGATGGGGACTGACAATTGAAAGAATGTAGAGGCTCATCCAAGGTTTACAGAGACCTGTCATTCCTGGGGTATGCCTACAATCTCCTTCAACAAAGGAGCTCCTGAGGGAAGGAGGGGATTAGTCAAAAGTTGAGTGAAGTCTCCAGGGAAGATGGTTTCTTGGATAGAGTTGTCAACAAAAGGAATTGTTTAAGACTATTTGTGATAATTTCCTAGAGGGAGCTTCTGCCATTACTAACAGGATTACCAGCATACTGGTTCCACACCAGCAGAGCATTAGACATGTGCATTACAGACTGGTTGCTTAGAGCTGAATTCAGGGGTCTTATACACCATCCCAAATGTGTGCAGGTGTTGATGAGCAGAGGGGAGATGGCAGAGAATTAAGATGCAGCCAAATGCAGTCCATTTTTGGTCCAGCTGTTGCAGAGAGTCCTGGCTCATTAATGAGTTTCCACAGTGTTTTAATCTCCTTGATCTCAAGGCTCTGACAGACCATAAGAAGGAAAGCTAATCTGAGGTGAGTGCTGATGGGGATACATAGGGAAATCAGAAACCTCTTTCCCAACTTCAGTTACTATGAAATTTCTCATGGAATTCTTCCTGGAAGAATTGGGAAAGCAAGTCATTTACTGTGTTTAAGTAGTAGTCTGCTTGGTTGCAGTTATCTCGGATACTTTTTCTTAGCTCTGGGACATAGAAACCAGTAGCCTTGGTGTAACCTCACAGCACATCTGGGAAGAAGACAAAGATAAATCACTGAAGTGCAGACACACATACCTTGAATATTTTTATTCATCTTAGTAGTGTCACTGGCATGGCTGGGAGAACTTCTCTGAGCAAGAATTATACAAAGTGTTGAGGCATTGGAACCAAACCAGTCAAGGAGCTATGGGTGGCAGCCATAGAAACAGCTGAAAGGTGAGCTTTTAGTTAAGACAGCTGCATCTCCATCCCAACTCTAGTCCATCATTCACCAAACACACACTGTAGATCTGGGCAGGAAGCAGCATAACAATTTATGTTCCCCTTGCCCTTGCTACAGACATAATTTCAGGAATTTATAGATTAGCTACATTAAGGGGGACATAGGCTATCTGCAGGCACTGCTCAGTTCAGAGGACAAGATTTTCCTTAGGTTATGTTCCTTAAAATTCTCTGCCTTGATGAAAAGGCAAACTGTGTCCCAAAAGTCTTTCTACTTCTAGATTGCATCGACTTGGATCTCCCAAATATCAGCCACTCTCAATGACCTGACCTCCCTGTGCAATACTGAACAGAGCAGCTGTACATGATGCCTAAGTTGGGATAGGGGTTGTGTTGCATTCCCTTTGCATTCTTGGAGCTGTTTGGACTAAGAGCAGTGAAGAAGCAGGATCTCCAGGGCCTGCAGTGGGATGGTTGTGGCTGAATGTCTACTCCTAATTAAGAGCAACTGAATGTTCAAGATATGCTACATGGAAGGATTTGTTATACATGGGCAGTGAAGGATCTAATTATGAAAACTGAGTCGCTTTTCCATATGGTCTATCCAGAGCATCAATTGTAAATTTCTTCTTCCTTCTGCCCTAGAGCAGTAGGACAGAATGGCTTTGCTGTTTTACATAGCTTCCACCCCCATAATGGCCATGTCATTGCTAAATTTAGCCATATGCTAAATTGCCAAAGAGTCAAATGATACCTTATAATTCTGTATCTAGAGGGACAGAAAGCCAGGATGACCCTGAATATGCTGCAATCCAGCAGTCTTCTGTTCATTAACTCAACATTGTAGGCCCAATGCCTAAAACATGCCACATCAGGAAGAAACTGACTCCTAATCACTCCTCTCCTCAACTAATAGGAATACTATTTACATCAGGAGTACTATCGCAGTAGATTTTCCATGCCCTGGCATGCACATTGTCAGGGGCAACAGCCTTTGGGGAAAATGGATGTAGTGTTGGAATGAGTCAGAAAGAGTAGGTAACAAGAAACATGTCTGAATTCATGTACCAAGTTAGTGCCACCCAAAGAAGCAGTTCTGCTTTCCCCACTTCCCTCCCTGCTTCAAGCTTTACAGTAATTCTCTTTTTCTCTCTAGCACCTTTGTAAGCCCTTGAAGAACTGATTTAATTCACTAAACAGATGGAAGACTATGAACTCTTTTGCTGAGTTAGTTTTTCCTTGTTTTAGTGAGCTGAATCAGATTATGCAGGGAGAAAAGTACCAGACTTCATTCATAGATGACTAGGGAGTAGGAAAGGAGGAAAGCAAAAAGCCATGAAGTTCATATTCTCTTATCTCCACCCTGCTCACATCTAGTTCCTATGGTATGATCATCCTCTGTCACATTTGAATGTCTGATGTTGTTTTGAGATAATACCTGAATGGGTTCTGGCAAGTAAGTGCTCAGTACTGCTGTCATTTATGTGGGCCCATCTCAA